TCCAGACACAGACATTTGCTGTCTGTGTGATACTGGACAAGTCACTTAACCTACATCTGCCTCAGTTTCTACATCTGTAAAATGTGGATAATAATAGTACCTACTTCCTAGGGTTACTGTGAGGATTAAATGAGATAATATTTGTAAAGAACTGTGCAAACCTTAAAGCAAGCTGTTATTGTGATTATTCTTAAGTATAGCCCTCTCCTCTACATCCCAAAGAATGGCTTAGTCATACCTTAAAACAAGGAATTAAAAAGATGAAAAAAAAACATAACAAAAATAACAACATATAGAGTAACATAAAGTAACACATACAAAAAACATTGCTCATTATCTGTAGCATTCCACACCCTTAGTCCCCAACCTCTTCATAGAAAGGAGAGAGGTGCCTCTTCATATGTCTTCTTTGTTTTGTCATTAGAATTTCATTAGAAATTGTTATTAGAAGTTTTTTTTTTGACTTTTCAATCACTAAACATTTATCAAGCAACTACAATATGCCAGGCACTGTGTTAAATACAGTAGATACAAAAATGGGCCAAAGACAGTGTCTGCCCTCAAGGAGCTTACAATCTAATCTATTGATTGATGGAATTTGAGCTCCTTGAAGACAAGGATCATGCTTTTTGCCTTTCTTTTTGTCTCCAAGATTTAGCATAGTTCTTGGAACACAGTGGTTGATTAATAAATGCTTGCTGACCATATGATATAGTTGGTGTGTCAATTGGTTTTATTGAACTGTTTTTCTTAATTACAAGAAAGGGCTGGGCAAGGTGGGGAGGGAATCAGGGAGGGGAGTATTATCCAGAAATGGCTACGATGCAAAAACAAACAAAAAAAAGCATCAATGAAACCTCATTTAAAAATTTTCTGAATACTTCTAAGAGAATGGAGATTTACTGTCTGCTGAGAAATCCTACTTAGTGGTAGGGATGACTCTAAGGGAGATTTCCCTTATATGAAACCTAAATTTTCCTCCTAGAAACTTCCATCACTTTTGCCCATGAAAACCAAACAGAAAAAGTCTGCTTACTCTTCAATATACTCTTCAACAATCTTTAGCTTTTTGAAAACAGCTAAGATGCTCTTCATTGGTCTTCTGAAGGCTAAAAATCTCCAGTTCCTTCAACTGATCCTCATATGGTATGATCTCACCATAATAGTTACGGTTCTCTGATCACATTCCAACTTACTATTCATGTCTTTCCTAAAATATGATTGATACGTAAAGAACTGTGCAAACCTCAGGGGTCATATCTGGAGAATAAAATTAAGGGGTGAGAGAGGATTATACTAGGAGAAGGAGAAAGGAAGAGGTAGAATGGGGTAAATTATTTCACAAAAAAAAAACAGAAAAGAAAAGGCTCTTACAGTGGAGGGGAAACAGGGGAAGGTGAGAGGGAATGAGTGAATCTTATTCTCATAGAATTTGACTTAAGGAGGGAATAACATACACACTCAATTGGGTATGGAAATCTGTCTTACCCTACAGGAAAATGGAGGGGGGGAGGGGACAAGAGAGTAGAGGG